ATCAATCTGTCACGGTCGAATTTAATTTTATTACCTTCGTCAAGATTCAATATGCATTTTTCTCTGGTTGCCGTTCTGTGCCGTTTCTTCCTTCTCGCAGGAATTCCAGATTTTTCATCAGAGCATCTGCATTCGGGGCTGCAGCTGGGCTACGCCACCCCCTTCGCCACTTATCCTCTCTCTGTCGGTCTACGAGGAAGCGCGACATACAAAACGAGACATTTCCATCTGGCAAGTGAAAAGACCCCGTGAGATCGGAGACGGAAGACTGCGAGATGGACGAGTACGATTCCCTCCAAACAAATACAAACGATCGCAAAAGCAGAAAGGATTACTTAAGGTTGAAGAAGCACTGAGAAAGTGAAAGAGCCCAGCAGATTCCAAGCGACGCAGAAACGAATAGGAAGGAGAGCACGCGCCTCGTGGCATGGCGGACAGATGACCAAACATCATGTTGAAATGTATCGAGTTTCCTTGTAAAGGTGCGTTTATACACCGAGGCCACGCGAAGGATTCTATTTGTTTTCGGCTTCCTTGTGGCAAACGCGCACGTGAAAAGCCAGCTTTGTTTTCTTACGAACGCCCCAGGGTACCTGAGTGTACAGGTGATTACGAACACGTCCTCTTTTGTCCGATCTCTCTCTTGCCCTCGTCGTCCTTTTTCAGTTCGCTCTTCCTTGCTCTTTCGCGCACGTAACTTGCTTGTAAACGCCCGACACCACGACGCTAGATAACATTTCCCAGCAGTTTCCGCAGACAAGCCAGATCTCTGCCGTGATCAATGGCACGCGAAACAGATTTTTCTTTTTTTTTTTTTTTTTTTTTTTTTAAGAAAAGATGAAAATCGCTCTTCTAGAGTCGATCGGATTTTTGGACCACTGTCCGAACGTTGGACGATACTTTCGTCGCGGCTGCTTCGTTTGATGTTTGAAAAGAGACGTACACCGGCCGCGGTGTACGTTACCGCGATGATGTCGGATGACGTGCCACGGCCAAGGAGAATTTACCTACAAAAAGAAAAAGGAGGAAGAGCAACGTCGATGCTCGGCTGTCCTCCGAGAAGTAACGTTCTGTTCCTTTCTTTCGTTCGGAGCATATGCTGCCAGCTGCTCGGACCGTCGCGCCGGCCAAAGGGTTCAGCCTCGAATTTTCAAATTCCATTCTTTGCGATTTCTCTCCACACACTTCCTCCGTCTTTGTCCGCTCTGCCTGACCGTTCCGCGAGTCAGCTGTTGATCGTTATTTTCAACGCGCGTCGTTGCCGTTGTCTCGAAATTCGAATCGCTCGAAAAACGCGCGAACGAGGAAAGATCCTCGAAGAAGAGAAAAGAAAAAAAAAAGGAAAAAGAAAGAAAAGAATCCGGTAAAATTGCTCGCCACTTAAACGCATTTAATCTATTAGGGTGTTCAGGCGCGTGGAAAATGATCGGCCCTGTAATCGTCTTCGGCTCGAGTTTTAATGTCGATTCGGTATTAACTACATCCTGACGCCGGAACCCCTGCGGATCGGTTTCTCTCTAATTTTCGACGATGCACTGACGTCACCGTGTTCCCCGTTGGTGTTCCGGTCTGTGCGCTCGGGACCGGAAGCAACGAACTCGTTGGGGGAGCGCGCAGCGTTCAAACTGAAAATCCCCCACGGATATCGATGTTCTCGCGTTTAAACGAGCAGGAAGTTTGATATTCCCTCGACGGTTGCCCTGAGAGACGAGAGAAAGTGTGAAAAGCCACTCGATCATGATGTTTGCAAATGACACACGATTTACTCCTCGCGAGAGAGAAGTTTCGATAAAAAGAGGAAAATGTTTTTTAATACGAGATATTCGATATCCGCGATGAATTACGTTTATTGTGAGTTTCTGAAAAAAAAAGAAAAAAATTCGGACGTTGCTCGGTGGCTCGAAACGTGGAAATATCGCAAAACGAAATTCTTCAAAGCAATCGCAAACCTCGGCAATAATCGTTACGGCCGCTGACCATCGTGGTCACGGTGTTCACCTGTCCGTACTTTGGTCACACTCGAAGCCGCTTTACACGTACACGAACTCGCATATAAGCTCGTGTGCCCGCATGATCTACGGTGTACCGTGTTTTTTAGCTCGTTCTCTGTAACGGTCGAATTTACCCCCATTGCGTGGAAACCGTGATATATATATATACATTCGTTCGCACTATTTACAATTGCAATATTACGTTGGTTCTCTTGCAGTTCGTGTCAATTGCACATGCACGGTTGGAACGTAATATGATGAAAATCAGGATATTTCGATTAGGAAATTTTGATCTTGAATGGATTCGCAATGCAAAACACGCGAATCCCGAAACCGTGACGCAATCACGCCAGTTCCAAAATTCTGCGAACACTGTGGATTCGGTATAAGAAAAACGCGCGAGAATATATTGCAATTAAAGTCGAATGATCTGTACTAGACACTGGCGATCAGATTATATCGTGATTATTGTTACAAGAAGAAAAAAAGAAAGAAAGAAAGAAA